ACACCTGGCACACACTCAGGCTGTGCAGAGATATTCTTCCCATACCCAGCCCCCAACCCGCAGCCCATTGATAGTCCCTCCTCCAGTTCTGGAGCCCTGAAGATCATCTGGGGGCACCAGGATACCACACAGACAAATGCCTATAACAGACTAAGAGTCACAGTCTCTGCGCAGGCGAAGCCCGAGCCTGGAAAAGCAGGAGAATAATAAAGGACAGGAATAAGCCGTCTTAATTCTGCAGAGCACGGGTGTTGGAAAGGACAGTGCTTCTACCATGGCACACTGGCCTGGCACCAGCTTCTTTCAAGCCATGAAAGATAAAACAACAAATAATCAGCTGCCTTCTCATCTGTTTGGCTAAAACAAGGACTTTGCACTGGGAACCCCAAAGATTTACAATGGAAGCACAAAGCCCCTGAGCTCGCAGAGCAGGAATGGGGGAGGTACATTAAGGATTAATACTGAGCATTTCCTTGCAGGAGCCAGGTTATCACATGATCAGTTAGAACCACAGCAATGCACAATTTACCAGATCGGATCAGACAATTGGTGCACCCCGGCTGTTACCCTGCCTCTAACTACAGCCAAGAACTGAAAGCGGGAAACCCCATCATGCACCTGACCAGTTGGGCCATTCTGTACACGGCCCAGAGGAGCGACTGACTTGTCGGATTCCCGCAGGTTCCAGGCTAAGATGATGCTGAGGTGTTCTCATGCAGCCTGTTCTTTAAAATCCAGCACCAGAAACAAACCCATCACGTGCAAGCCAAGTTCTCAAGTATGCTGCTGGCAATCTGTCTGCTCTTCCTCATCTGCACATACACCTAGCTTTGAGAAGGCTGACAGCTGGGCAGGTCACAGACTGAGCAGGGATAAACGCCTGGGTCAAGATGCTCGCCAGAGTCTATGAAGAATTGGTAATCCTCTGCCCCTGGGCTGACTGTCCATATCCCTGCAAGTTGTTCTGGGAGAGTGGCCACACGTTGGAGATGGCTCCGGGGGACCACTGGCAGGTGCACACGTTCAGGAGTGGGGGATGACTGGGAGATGGAAGGGGAGTTTGGAAGAACTCGATGTCTCTTCTCAGAGAAGAATGTGCAATTTAAGATTCGGCAGCACAAGCAGCTTGTCAGGAGAGGTAGGTGCTTTGGCAATGCAGATATGGCCACAGCCTCCTGCCCAACTAGTGCGACACCAGCTACACAAGCAGTGTCCCACAGGGGCAGGGATGCCACACACTACGGTGCTGCAAGGGCTCAGAGAGAAGCACCTTGGCCAGGCAAGAGGAACTGGCCCCTCCCTGGAAAGGGAAATCCCATCTTCCTCATGCAGGGAGTCTGGGGGTTTGGCGAGTCACCTTAGATGGGGGGGCGCTAGGCAGGTGGATCCATGCCCCGGACTCTGTCTCTGTCAGTGCACGGCTGGGTCAGAGCTCAGGGCCTGTAGGCACCAGCAGCAGAGTAGCTCTTAGCTCGGGGCAATACAGAGCCTTGGAACAGCTGGCAAGAGCATCCCCCCCCCCCGCCGCCCCCCGAGCCTAGGGCAATTCACAAGAGCCAGAAAAATCCAGCAAGGGCTGAAATGGGGGGGGGGGGGAGGACCCCACTGAGCTGCAGGGAATCGGAGCCGCCCCCATTTGCTACAAGTGCTCCCTGCCCAGATCTCCACCCCCCGACCCGCACGTCTCCCCACCGGCCCAGGGCCCAGCACCCCGCCCCCCGCCGGCCCAGCCCCCCCAGGCCTCTCCTCACCGGCCCAGGCCCCCCCCCACCTCACCCTGCCGGCCCAGCCCCCCGCCAGGGCCCAGCCCCCCCGTCCCTACCGGCCCAGCACCCCGCCTTCCACCAGGGCCCCCCCACCTCACCCTGCCGGCCCAGCCCCCCGCCAGAGCCTAGCCCCCCCCGTCCCCGCCAGGGCCCCCCGCAGACCCCGCACGTCTCCCCACCGGCCCAGGGCCCCCCCACCTCATCCTGCTGGCCCAGCCCCCCGCAGACCCCGGGCCCCCCAGCATGCCCCAGGTGCCCTGTGGGCTCTGGCACGTCTCCCCCCCAGCGGCGGGGGAGGGGGCTGGGGGCCGCTAACCCCCAGCGGCGCAGGACCCCGCCCACCCGGGGCCCCTCCTCACCCGGAGCCGCCGCCGCCGCTCGCTCCGCACCGGGGCCTCCTGCCTCCGCCAACCCGGAAATGAGCGAACCTCCCCAGCCCCCAGCCGCGGCGGCCAAACAAAATGGCGGCCGGGGAACCCCCTGCGCATGGGCGGAGGACACGCCCCCCCTTCCATCCGGTCTTAGCGCGACGGGACGCGCAACGCTCTGGACGGGTTGAAGACGCCATGTTGAGAAGGTCATTCAAGGCACCTTGGTGTGGGAGGCCCTGTCGGGAAGGCCACGCAAAGATCGCGGAGCGAGTCGGCGGCCATGTTGAAAAGGTCATATGTCCTGCCGGACAATGTGCAGCCATATTAGTGAGGTCACCCGGTCACACAGCAGCCAGCTGCCATGTTGGGAAGGTCAAGAGAACCCGTCGTTGTGGCCATGTTAGGAAGGTCACACGGAAGTGCTGCTTTGTGCCCCTATTGGGAAGGTCGCTGAGGATGTGTGGCCTGGGCCACCATGCAGGGAAGGTCACATAGGGCCCCTAGGACCAGTGAGTGGGGGTGGGTTGCTGAGGCCCAGCCCTGGCTTTGCCAGACCCTGGAGCACCCCGGCACCCGCCTGTCCACAGGCCTGGGGAGCTGAGGCCACCACCTGCCCTCAGCCTGGGGTGCTGGCATATCACAGCACGACGTGACATCATCATGCTGTGCCAAAATGATGTCACACCCCAGTAGGCCTCTACTTATTGTTTCAGTGACATCACGCCACCATATGACATCATCATGCTGCACCAAGATGCCAACCTCATGCCCCAAGACGCCCTGGCAACCCTACGGGGGGCAGGGTGTCAGCTAGGAGCACCACATGGGGCCCTCTGCTGGCTGCTCTCCTGGGGTGACGGCCATGCCCCTCTCTGCGCAGCACCTCCCCCCCTCCGATAACCCACACTCAGGAACTCGGCCCCAGGGGTCCCATCCTTCCTACTAATTGGATCCCCCAAATTGCTTCACCCCCCTTGAACAACTGGGGGGCCTGCCTCCTGGGTGTGCTGGGGCCCAGGGCACATGGGGGGAGTCACACACACAGCACAAGGGAGCTATCCTGGGAAATCCGCAAGGGGGTTCATATACACACCAGCTGGCCAGGTTGATGGGCTTAGGATAGAGACTGTGAGCACTACAGAGATGGCCAATCCTAAGCATGGCCAGCCCGTAGGTTAACCTCCCCTCTCATGAGACGCACTCGGGTCGATGGGGGTTAGGGAGCTTGGACTTTAAAGGTGTAACGCCAACAGGCCCCCGGTCGTCAGCGGGCAGGATCAAACTGGGGACGGCTGGAGCTTAGCGCATGAGCCTCTACCGCATGAGCTAAAAGCCAACTGGCTGTACAGCAGACTCATTAATCTCTCTCTAGGTGCTGTCGGTGCCACTAGCTGGGCCAGAACACCACAGCCAGGAGGTGTGTGGGTTACAAAGGCATCTGAAAGACTCTCCCCCAAGGCTAAACCACGCAGAGCCCCATTTGTCTCCCCCACGGGGTGTGACGAGTGGAACTGAATGAGAAGGGGCAGGTTGGCCTGGCCTGGCCTGGAGTCTAGAGCCTCAGCAGGCTGCGTTTGCCTAGCGCCAATGCCGTGCGGTTCTGCTGCCCGGCTGGGGCTCGGACCCGCTGCTGCAATCATTCAGGTGCTGGACACGCCCCTCAATAGACAGTGCCGCTTTTATGGCCAGTTCTGTTTCGAAGTCTTTCTCCCACCCCAGTGCTTCTGGAGCACAGTCAGAGAATCACAGACTCAGAACCCAACCAGCCTCCGCCAAACTGCACGGTGCATCTTTCCATTCCAGCTCACGTGGGCAACGGGCTGCAACCCCGAAGCCGCCCGTAGAAAAGTCTCTGGACAAAGCACCGTAGCACACAAGGAGCTGCCGTTTTCTTTTAAAAAATAAATTTACAATTGAGAGCATTTTGGTACAAAATATACACATTCTCGTGTTAGGCCAGGGAGCCGCCCAGGCCGCAAGAGAGACCCTCAGCAGTGACACAAACAGAAAGACCCTGAATATATATATAAAGAGAACCTCCGTGCGGAGTTTACAGCGCGACAAAAAGGACAGGTACAAAAATAGAATTGCAGGGAACACGGTTCTGGGGCTCCCCTGCCCACGGGCTGCCCCTCACAGCCAGGTCACCCCACACTTGACCCCCACTCCCGCAGGGCTGCTCTCCTCTCGGCATACTGCCATGGGGCTCCTTGGGGCCAGATGCAGCTGGCTGGAGGGAGTGGCTCCCATCCTACCAAGGGGCACGATGGGGTGGGGGGTTGGCTTCATCCCAGGTGAAGAGTCTCTACTGTAGCAGTGGAGGGTGGCTGGGGGCCAGGGCAGGGCCATGCTTCAGGGCATGAGTGGATCCGTGGAGCGGACAGGCAGGGTTTAAAGGCAATGGGGTTACACAACTGCCCTTAGCACTGGCCCAGGCAGACTGGGGCCCCTGCCCTTGGCATAGGTAAGCGAGGGGTAGAGATGGGGGAGAAGCTGGGGGGCAAGGGGAGTCTAATGGGGGAAAGAAACCCAGCCCCAGAGCGCTATGAGGGCCACATAACCCCCATGGGGGGCTCTGCCTCCCCTCCCCCTGCTGACCCATGTAGGAGGTTCAGGAGGCTGTTGAATGGATTTAGGGCTCTAGCTCCAGTGCCTCCTGCTTTCCACTCCATAGGTCACAGGTTCAAACCTCGCCTGTGTCAGTTACCAGGGCTGGCTCCAGGGTTTTTGCCGCCCCAAGCGGCGGAAAAAAAAAAAAAAAAAAAGCCTTGATCGCGATCTGCGGCGGCAATTCGGCGGGAGGTCCTTCGCTCCGAGCGGGAGTGAGGGACCGTCCGCCGAATTGCCGCCGAATAGCTGGACGTGCCGCCCCTCTCCGGAGTGGCCGCCCCAAGCACCTGCTTGGCAAGCTGGTGCTTGGAGCCGGCCCTGTCAGTTACTGCAGCCAAACTCCTAGGGACCAAGTCACCCTGGGCGGGCAAGCGGGCGGGGACAACCCATAGCTTTGAAACTAGGGCGGGGGAACCCATAGCTTTGAAACTACAGGGAAGTGCAGTGCCTTCAGCAGGACCAACTCTGGGGGACAGAGCCAGGGCTTCTCCCCAGCACCCCAATGCTGCTTCCCCTTAGGGGGGCCCTTTGCATTCTGACATGCACTCAGAGCGCCCCAGCAAGGGGCTCAGGGTCCCAGCGCCCTGTCCCTCTGAGAGCCGGGGGGTGGGGGGGGAGGTTGGAATCACAGCTGCTCTGGCTGGGGGATGGAGGAAAGGAGGGAAACACACACGGGTGGGAGAAGCAGGAGGGTTGAACCCGAGAAGAGAGAACAGGAATGGGGCGAGAGGGATCTGGGACCCAGGGGGCACAGGTCCCCTTTGTTTGCCAAGGGGAATGCTGATCCCCACACCACATGCAGCCCCTCACCCCACCTGGCTCCGACCCACCCCACTGGCACCCGGCAGAGGGGACAGTGTCTCCTGCCCATGCCCTGGTCCCCCAGACAGTGCCCTGGGCGCCTGGCCCAGCTGGGCCGGAGTTTAAAGCTAGACCGAAAGCCGGTCCCGGCCCACCCCGTCTGCGCAGCAGGGGTCGCCCCCCACCCCCGATGGGGAAGGGCCACGTGTTTAAAGTCCAGCCGACTCTGTAAACCACAAAGTGCCGCGGCACCAGGCCCCGTGTCTCCCCAAGCACAGGGGCGTCCGGCGAGCCGGGGCCGGGGCCGGCCAAAGTGCTGTAGTGTGACGGATCCAGCGCCCCCCGGCTGTCACTGGCTGCTCGCCTCCAGCTTGTAGGAGAGCTCGAAGAGCAGGTTCTGATTGTCGATCACCTGGAACTGGCGCACGTAGGCCTTGGTCTGCAGCTGGCTGGGCGACGCCTCCAAATCCAGGCCTGCGGGGGAGGAGACGTCAGGGCGCACGACCCCAGAGCCAGCAGCAGGAGGCGCTGCTCTGCCACCCCAGGTGGAACTCAGCCAGCCTGGCTCATGCCCGCAGGAGGGAGGACACCGGGCTGCTAGGTGCCCTGGGGCTAAGCATGGCGTCTGCCAGCCGGGCCCTGGCACAGGTGACCTGACCGGGCCACCTGGGACTAGGGCGACCAGACACCAAGTGTGAAAAATCAGGACAGGGGGTGGGGGGCAACAGGAGCCTATGTAAAAAAAGACCCAAAAATCAGGACTGTCCCTATAAAATCGGGACATCTGGTCACCCTACCTGGGAAGCTTCCCTGAGAAGCAGACAGGCCGGCCTGAGTCGGCTTTTGCACAGGTTTATGGCACGGGCAAAAGGTCTCTGCCGGTTGGAAGGTGGCAGCTTTCATTTGCTCCCAGGCCGGGCAGGCTTCAGACCAGTAAACCAGAGGCCAAGGCCCCGCACTGTGCTGCCAACCCCCTCAATCACCCTGGCTGCCAGTCCTGGAGCCCCCCCAGGCGGGATCTGCAGTCTGGGGAAGCAGGGAGCTCCATGGGGTAATGACGCTGCCCTTACCCTTCCCTGGAGCGCAGCGTGGGGGGAGACGCTCATACTCACACAGGGGCCGGCTGCGGTACTTCCGGATTGTCCTCACTTTTTCGGCGATTGAGTGCTGCAAAGGAAGGCAGCCAAGCGGTTAACAGGCTGGGCGCTGGGCTGGCCCTGGGGCAGCCTCAGGACCGTGTACCCAGCCCCCCAGGAGCCCAGCCAGGTACATAAGCGAGACCGGCAGTCAGGGCAGGAAGCCACCCAGAACCCCAGCCTGGAGAACCCCCTGGAGACCCCCCCTCATCCCACAAGGGACAGGCGCTGACTCTGGGCCCACCCCAGGTGCCCGATCCAGCTGGCGCTACCCCTGCAGGTGTGTTAAACAACAAACAGCTGGTCTAAGCCCTGCACGCACAGGCCAGCAGAGGGTGCTAGACACCCCAGCCGAGACAGACAGACAGACACACCCCCCCACCCGCAGGGGCCGCCAGGTGCGGGCGGGGGAGGGGATTTGGACCCAGCTGTTGTTTGTCTCTCACAGCACCTGGAGCTCCACCAGTGCCAGGAGCAAGGCTGGCTCTGCCCCCCCCGGCCCCCGTCGTTCCTTGGCGCTGCCCTACAGGGGCTGGGATCTGCAGGTCGCGCCAGGGAAATTCCACCCCGGGGTCAAGTTAGCGAGACCTGGGCCCAGGTTTCCTACAGGGGGCGCCCGGCTCCGTGGGTGAGGGGGAGCTCTGAGCCCCAGCCCCTCACGCAGAGCCCAGCACAGGGCCAGGCGGGGGCCAGGCCGGTGAGACGCCCGCCCCGCGCTCGGGCGCAGGCTGAGCCGGGAACCCCGGGGTGCTGGGAACAGCTGGATCGAGCGGCCACGAGCAGCCGATCCACAGGCAGGGACGAGGCTTCGAGGGGACAGGACAGTGTGGGGTTTGGTCATGCCATGCCCGTGCCCGGGGGGAGGCTGCCCGGGTTCATTGTGGAGGCAGAACAGGGGTGCCGTGGGGGGAGGGGATCTCTCAGGCCAGCCGCCCCCCACTACGGGCCAGGTGGGGGGAATTCTGCTCTGTGGTCAATCGGGAGCTGCCCCGTTTACCCCAGCACAGGGGAGTCGAGCTGGCCCCGAATCCCCCAAGGGCGGCGGGCGCCCCCCAGGCTGGCCGTGACCCGCTCTCTGTGCCGAGCAGCAGCCCAAGGACCCCATGAGCCGAGTGCCTGGCACGGCCCCGGAGGGGCTGCGGGAATGAGTGCGTCGCCATGGCAACACTGGCTCCATGCGGCAGCATGCAGCCCCCCCCCACCCCGCCCCCGCTGGCTGCGACACTCCCCCCCCTCCCCCCCCAACGCTTGCGCCAGGCTGAATATTGCATGAAGGATGTTCCCAGGACAACACCAGTTAATCCTGGGGGGGGGGGGGGGGGTTCAAGAGCTGGGGGCTCTGCCACCTGGGGTCCCATCCAGACAAAGGCAGAGCTCGCTGCCCTGCGGGTCTGGTGCTGCGAAGCCCCCCACCCCGGCCTAGACACCAGCTGTTCTCAGAGCCAGGCCAGGGGCTTGCAATGGGCACACGGGGCCATCGCCATCTCTGCTATCGGCCTGCTGGGTGACCCTGGCCAGGTCCCGTCCCCACTCTCTGCCTCAGTTTCCCCTCCCACCCTGTGTGAGCTCCTTGGGGCAGGGACACACTCGGTGCAGAACACACGTCACAAAGGGGAAGGGCCTCGCCAAGGAAAGAACCCATGTGTCCTGGCGGATGAAACCCGCTGGGGAGAACTGGATCCGGGGGTCTCTTCCTCCAGGAGGCCGGGGGGGGGGGGGGGACACACCCCCCAGCTTCTCCACATTCACCAGCCCATCCAGGAGCGTCTTGCTGCCCTCGTGCACAAACGTCAGGTCTGGGGGGCAAAGGAGGAGGGACAAGGTGAGCGCAGGCAAGACGGACTCTCTCCTCCCCCTCCCGGGCGCTGTGCTATCCTGGGCCCCAGCTCCTCCCCATGGGCACCTGGCTGGGAGATGCCCACGCCCTAGTCCATAGCCCTGCAGGCAGAGGGATTCCCAGGGCTGCTGGTCACAGACTCTGCCTGAGGGCAGGACATGGCCCCTAAGTTTCAGGAATCCTTAGTGTCCCGGCGCTGAAATGCAGCCCCTTCTGGGGCAGAGCGCGGCAGCTGTCAGGGCACAAGGGAAAATCCCGGGTGGGTGGCAGCGGGGGGAGGGAGGGGTGCAGGCAGGGCTCACTGAAGGTGAAGGGAAAGCGCCCCCTACTGAGCCCTGGGCCCCGCTCCCTGCAGCACAGCTGGGGAAACTGAGGCACGGAAGAGGGAGGGGAGTTGCCCAAGGTCACCCATGAGACAGCAGCAAAGCTGGAAGCCCTGTCCAGCAGTCCCCCAGCTGTAACCACTAGGCAATGCTTTCCCTGCACGACGCGATGCCGACACATGGGCCCTCGGCTGCCGGGATTGGTTCCCTGCGTGGCCATGAGCCCTCTGGGGAGGGGGCAGCGGGGAGCACCTCCCGGGAGCCACAGGCCCACGGCTCACCTTTCAGGATGAGGGGCACGAAGGGGATGAGGGGGGGGTTCATCTTGGAGAGGACTTCCCGGTAGGTTTTGTGATTCCGGCAGGGGTCCTGCAGGGGCGGGGAGGGAGGACAGGTCAAGAGGGGGTGCTCCGGGGGACCCCAGCCTGGACACCCAGTGGGACCCCAGAGAGGCCGCACGAGGGGCTGGGCAAGGAGAACCAGGCCTGGAGTGAACCCCGCAGGGACCCGGACCCACCCGGCTGAGCCTCCCCCACACCTGGCCGTGCTGAGGTACATGGGACCAGGCCGGCGTCAGCCCCATTAGCACCCACGGCTCCACTCTGGGCAGCCGGCCGGTGGCTAGATCACAGTGTTGGCAAGGCCCAGCCCCCAGCGAGGGGTCTCCAGCCGGCCGGCTTGGCACAGGAACACGCCGGTTCCAATCCCCCGGCTGAGAGCAGGGCCCGAGGGGTTACCCGGGGTGCCACCGGGTATGTGCCAAGTGCTGTGTGCTCAGCACGGGGGGCGGGGGGGGAACCCGCCTAGATCCCTGATACTCAGACCCGCCCCCCATGCTGAGCGAGGCGGCAGATGCAGGCCGGCATTGGGGGCAGGGGGCGCGAGGGCTGGGCTGGGAGGACGGTTCCTGCCGCGGCACCAAACGTTATCCACGGCAGCCGGGTACATGTGATGTGCACTTCCCGCCAGGCTCCCGGAGCTCCCAGCAGGAGGCGCTGGGGGGCTGCCGCTCACCTCACCCAGCGCGGGGGCAGGGTCATTGACCGGCCAGTCCCCAGCCCCTCCTCTCGGCTGCGTCCTTGGGCTGCTGGTTAACTCCGAGTGGAAATTCCCGCTGGGAGCCCCCGGGAGCGGAGCCGCAGGGGAACGTTTCCACCCCCCACCCTGCCCCTGTGCAGGTGCCAGGTTACCCAGGTACCCGTGGGTGCCCAGTCCTGCCCCCCCAGGACCTTGGCACAAGTGCAGTGAGCCAGGGATGCCGTTCCAGCCCCCGCCCACTCAGCCCGGCCCCCCAGGGGCGAGGGTCTCACCGTCAGAGTCTCAAACTTCCGGAACAGGTTCTTAAACTTGCCCGGAAGCTTCTGAAAAACAAAAGGAACCGTGAGTGCCCGGCCCCGGGGCCAGGTTCAGACCCCGCCGCCTAGCACCCCCGTGCCAGGCAGGTCACTGCGTGTGCCAACCACATGTGCACTGGGGGAAAGGTGCCACCAGCTCAGGCTGGCACACGGGCACCATGGGGGACTCGGCTCCGTCACAGGGCACCATCCCTGGGCAGCGAGGCGGAGCGGGGTCACCGGTCCCCAGGAATGCGCAGCTAATCCCCCGTCTGGGCAGGGCTCTCATGTGCAATGGGCCGGGCCCTTGTTAGCAGAAGGAGAGGCCTGGGGTTTATTTCCTGGGTTTGTTTACTTGGAGGGAGGAAGAGGAAGATAAACAGCAACCAGGATCCCCACACGCTTTGCAGCTGCAGAAGGAACCGTTTCCCGCAGCACTGAGATGCAGCCACCTCTGGAGTGGACCACGGCAGCTGCTTGCACAGCCGCGGAGCAAGGCTGCATAGCTTCTCCAGGCAGGGAGGGCAAGGCACTGCACACTCAGCTGAAACCACGGGGGCAAGGCCGGGTGTAGGACAGGGCTGGAATTCAGCCCGGGCATCAGAGTTAAAAGCCAACTCAGCTGCAAAGGGCAGTCGGCAAGGTCTTGAATGCCTCCAAAACAGTCCCAACCTCTGAGAAACAGCAGCCCGGGCCCCCTAGCACCACGCTCGGGTCAGCACTGCCTGCCAGGGGAGAGCGCCCCCTATGAGCCCCCACCCCGGTCCCTGGAGCACAGCGCCCCCTAGCGCCACCCTGGGGCATTGGGGTCAGCACTGGCTGCCAGGGAAGAGCGCCCCCTATGAGCCCCCTGGGTTCTCCTTAGAGGTCTCCCTCCCAAGCACAGCCCGGGCCAGGTGCCATCCATGACGTGAGGTCACTGCCAGTCGGGGCAAGGAGACCTGGCTGGCTCAGATGGGGGATGGGGAGCCCCACCCTGACCGACGGGGGGTCCCAAACCCTGGCCCAACAAGCAGAGACCCACGCTCCCGCTACTCCCTTACCTCCCAGGTGAGCCGTAACCGGCTGACGGCCGCGTTGTCCAGCCCCATCACCACGGCATAGAAGGACAGCATGTCCTGGTTCTGCTTGCAGCTGGGAACACGAAGCAGGAGGCTCAGGGGCCAGCCACTAACGGGTTAAAGGGGAGAGAGATCCTGCCACCCAGCCCGGCGGGAGGGGTAAGGGGCACGCAACCTGCAGCCCTCCAGCTGGGCAAGCTCTGGGCATTGGGTCATCAGGACCCTGGGGGCAGGTAGAGGGCAGCCCCATGACCAGCCGTCCCCTAGCACTCCAGACCCGGCCCTGGCGGTGCCAGTCAGGGGCCCGGCAGCCTCCTGCCGCAGCAGCGGCGACATCCACACCTGCCCTGCCTTACACACTGTCCCAGCTGCCCACGCAGGAGAGGCCGGCTCAGCGCCTGGCAGCGCAGAGCTGAGGCCGGGGACCGGGGGACTGGGACTGCAAGGGGGGGCCCTGTCCACTGCACCTGCCCCAGCCCCATGCAGGGCCCCTCGGTCCCCGCGGAGGGCAAGACGCGGCACTCACATGGCTGCGATCTTGATGAACTTCTTGAGCAGGTGGGCGCGCTTCCCCAGCGACTCGCACAGCAGCATCTCCGTGGCCACCCAGTGCTGCACCTCGCTGCAGCGCTGCAGCAGCAGCTCCAGGTTGGCCGTCTCCCGCCGGCCCCGCTCCCCGTGGAAAACGTAGTCCACAAACTCCAGCTGCAAACCACGGGAGAGGGGCACCGTCGGTGTCGCTCCACACCAGTGCACCACAGCCTGAACCCTGAGCTCCCACCGGTCCCCCAGACCCCTCCCCTGCCCCATCCCGTACAGAAAGTCTTAGCAAAGCCCCAGCGCCCTACACGCTGCCCCGTCAACTACCTGCCCAAGGGATTCTAGGCTCTGTAGCACAGTGATCTCTGGCCAGGACTGAGAGCGAGCGGCCACTTAGTGCTGGGCACACCTGTCTTCTGGGAGCTTGACTGAGACCCGCCAAACTCACGACACGTATGGGCCAAATAGCTGTTAGCCAGGAACAGCATTTGCGGCCTGCCGGCCTAGGCTGGCCTCAGACCAGCAACGAGGAGCAAAGGCCCCATCGTAGTGCTGGGCACCGAAAAGAAAAGCAGTTCGACCCCGTGGAGAGTGTGGTGCCAGTTTCCATTTCTGTGCCAAAATCTCCGATTTTTGTTGACCCGGCCAGACCACTGCTCCTGTTTGCAGTGGCCAGGTTCGGAGCCTACAAAAATGTGGAAGAAATTCTTCAACAAAAAATGGTGGGGGGGAGGGAGGGGGGTGTTTTTATCAATTTTCTTTTGCAGGGTTAAAAAAAACAAAACAATTCCCCAGCATGCTCTGCTCCGTATCTCCTCCCCCCGGCCCCCCTGCGCGCAGACTTGGGACGTGCAGGCCCGGCCAGCCCCTCCGACCTCACCTCGTGGATGCAGCGGAAGAGTTCCCAGTGAAAGGCCGTCATGTGATTGGCTATTTCCTCAGCCTCCACGCGGTGGATCTCGGTGTCGCCCGGCGAGACCTGGATCTCCTCAGGCAGCGGGACCTGTGGGGCGGGGGGAGACTTGCCATGAGGCTGTAGCCTTAGGCTAACTGTGCGGAGAGGGGGCAAGGTGCCCAGGGTATTGGCCTCTGTAGCAACCCCCCCAGTGGGAATGTGGAACTGCACCCGTGGGAAAAGCTGCTGCATTCAGGGAGGGGAGTTCCTCCCCCCACCCACAAATGCTCAGAAGGGGAGAGAACCACACAGCTAAAGCGACCAGACCCCAGTTTAACCACTTGCTCGCTCAGCACTGACCCAGTAACCCAGTGGCTCTGCGGCCATATGTCCCTGGTACAAGGGCACCTGCATGGCTGCCCCCTCGACGTACCACCAAGGGGCCAGTGCTACATGGGGACTGCAGCGAGGTCCAGCACTCAAGAGGTTAATGGTGGCACTGTTGGGAAAGGAGGTATAGCCTAGTGGTTAGATCCTGGGAGCCCTTTAAGATTTCCTGATGCTTTTTGCAAGTGTCGGGACATTGACCCCAGGGCCCTGGCCTCATCCCAACCCCGGGGACTCTGCTTTGTCCCCTGCAGCTTCAGCTGGATACAGGATTTCTAAATTCCCACCGTGCACTGTTGTGCCAAGCAGCTGCCATCCCACACCAGAGGTGGCTGCATTTCAGTGCGAGCGCAGTGATCTCAGGGTTAAGCACTGGGATTCCCCTTCAGGATGACCGAGAACCATGGGAGACCAGCGACCCGTCCCCAGGGTCAGCAGGGGCGGGGATGACTGGGATACCGGGGGGTTGGGGGGAGGAAGAAATCTGCCGGAGCCCCGCCAAGGGGAGGGCCAGGGAAGTAAAACAAGCAGGATTCTGGGCACCAGCATCCCTAGCCCCCCTCTGGCTTGTGGCACAGCTGGCACCGTTTGGCTCCCGTGGGCGGCCCCTGGCGCCGTGCCTGTGGGGGGCTCTCACCAGCGACTCAATGGCGTCCTTCGCGCAGGCGAAGAGGTGGCTGTTGATGCCCAGCGTGGTGAAGACGCACTCCTCGCTGGGCTGCAGCACGGCCTTCTCTGGGGGCAGGAGAGACGGGGGCTGGGGTCAGCGGTGTCCAGCGCAGCTCTCCCAGCCACGCTGCCCTGGGGGCTCAATCAGTGCCAGTCTCTCTGCTCATAAGGGGGGCTGCCTAGTGCCCAAAGGTTTGGGACCTGCCAGACTCGCTGCCCCTCAGCCAGCAAACGAACGGCCATCAGGCTCTGCCCCCCGGCCGGGAATGGGGAGGGGGTGGCGGCAGGCTCCCCCCGGGGCCACATTGCTCTGGGTCTGTATCAAGGGGCCTCTCGGAGCTACCAGAGCCTTGAATGCCCCAGGCGGGGGCTATTCCCCCACCCACGAGCCGGCGGCAGCCAGGGCCAGCCGTAAAATATCCTTCCTGCCCAGAGCCCCCGGGGCAGCGGGCCTCTCCTCCCCACAGCCCCCTTCACCCGCGTCTATCCAGGGTCTGCACCAGCCCATCAGCCGGAGACGGCAGAGGTCTCGTGGCCCCTGTGCCCAGATAACCACGCCGAGCGCCCCCTACTGGCACCAGGGGAGGACACCGTTGCAAGTTCACTGGGGCGGGGGCCACGTTCTGCCCAGACCATGGGGACGAACGTGGTTCTGGCTCAGGGCATCGGGCAGACCTGGAGGGGGCTGGCACATCCTTGGTTTGATGCACAGCAGGTAGCAAGGGGCACCGATGCCAGGCCAGACCCTGCCCAGTAATGGCCCTCCCAGCCCCACGGGAAGCAGGAACATGCCTTGCACTGATACCCCTCGCCCCCCCCCCCACACTGTGACCCCCTAGGCCAGTCACCTCCAGACGACGCCACCGCCACCAGGGCGAGGGCTTCCTCGCGGGCGCTCTGCTCCTCCGAGTACTGCAGCTTCTCCGTCACCGCGGCCAGGATGTCCTGCACCGAGGCCGAGAGGCGGCTGCGGATGGTGACGTAGGAGTGGTCGGGCATGTACACGCGGCAGAAGACTGCAAGGAGACAGACGAGGGAGGGGTGGGGGGGCTGCTGTGGGGGTGGAATCTCAGCCATACCCCCTTGTCCCATCGCCGGCGCCCCCCGGTGGGAGCGGGCAGCAAGGTCCTGCTCTCGTGAGCCTGCGGCCATACCACCCCACTGATGGGCATGGGGGGCGCGGCCCCCCGGCTGGGGCTCTGCTGGCAGGGTCGCCTGGGGGCTGCTATTGGATTGGGGCGGGGGGAGATCAGACATGGGGGCAGCAGACAGTTCATTCTCAGCATCACTTTGCACCCTCCCTCCCAGGCTCCCAAAGCGTTTCCTGCAGCCCGGCCACGGGGCTGATCCCCCACTTTACAGATGGGGAAACTGAGGCACAGAGCGGGGAAGGGACTTGCCCGAGGTCTCCCCGCACTACCCAGTGGGGGCAGGGCCCACATTTTACACCCCCAGCAGCCACTCTGGCAGCTCGCCCGGAGCCTCACCCAGAAACTGATGCGATCATGGTAACGAATGCAGGCAGCAGGATGTCCCCCCGGTGCCAACCACCCTCCATCGGGGGGCAGGAACCGGTGCTGGTGACTGGGGCCAAGCAGCTACATCCTCCCCCGCGGAAGGAACCCAGGCGTCCTGCCTCCCAGCAGGGAATCGGATTCTGCTCGCCGTGCCCAGCCGGGCACTCGGACCCTCCCCACACTCACTCTCATCCGAGCCCCGGAAGGCCACCCGGGTCTGGAGGCAGGAGTCGATGCGCCGGAAGTGCCGGAAAAGGGGCTTGACCTGCTTGCTGGGTGGTGGGGTCTCCTCGGGCACCCTGCAACCGAGAGGGGGCAGGTCAGGGAAAGGGGCAGGACTGTAGGGGAATAATGCCCTGGGGAGGCTGGGGGGCTGCAGAGTGGGGACTAAGCCACACTGGGTTTTCACGAGGCCCTGGCCCTCCAACAGAAATATCTTTGGGTGCCATCTAGTGTCCCCCAGTTGCCACCCCTTTGTGCCCTGGTCTGGGTAGCAGCACCGCGCCGGCCATCGCTGGCAGGGCCGGCTTAAGGGGGCCCTGAGCCCGGATCGGGGCCTCTTGGCGTTACCGTAACGCTGCTAATAGCGAGGCTGCAATTGCAGGGCCGTGGCTCAGGACAGTGCGGCCCCGGTCAGCCTGGCGGGGACCCTGTGTCACTCACTTGAGCTCCACCGTCTCCACCAGCTGGTGCAGTCTCAGGATCTCGTCTTCCAGCTCCGGGTAGAGGGAGGCGTCTTTCATGATCAGCAGGTAGAGATCCTGAGGGGGGAGGGGGGTCTTAGGCTGCGCGGCCAGCAGGGCTCCCCCAGCTCAGATCTGGCCTGGCACTGCCCTGAGATACTGGGGAACAAACCACCGCCCCGCCCCCGGCCATGCTCAGCGCAGGGCCCACTTGCAGGCTGCTGAGTGAGTGGCTTGCAGAAATACGCGGAGAGACAGACTCCCTGGGGCCGGGGGTCCTGGGGTATCGGGGCCCCACACACAGTGGGGGGGGGGGATTAAATCCACTAGGCAGAATCAGGGCAGCCGGGGGGTGGGGGAGCGTGGAGCAGCCCAGAGAGTGATATTGACCAGCCTGGCCGAGCGCAAAGGGTTAATCAGACGCGGGCAGCGAGAATCCGACGACTCCCCCCCCCCCAGTGCACGCCCCGGGCCCCCCCGCCCCGGGGCGGGCCCCCCCCCCCCTCGGGGGCGGGGCGGGGGGGAAAACCCCCCCCCCCCCCCGGCCCCCACGCACCTTGATGACTTTCCCAGCGCTCTCCTCCTCCTGCAGGATGCCCTTGTAGGTCTCCAGGAAGTGCAGCAGCACGGTCAGCACGGCCCGCTTCCTCGGGAGCGCGTCGCTCTCCTCCCAGCCGGGCGAAGGGCCCCCCGACGCCAGCAGGAAGGTGGGCACGGGGTTAAGGGAAAAGAGACCAGGGAGCTGGGGGAGGGGAAAGGGGCTGAAAGTCTCCCCTGGGGGAAGAGGGGCAACGAGCGCCCTGGCTAGTGCAGCGAGAGAACCCTGCGGCACCGGACACCTGGGTTCATTTCCCGGCTGCCCCCCGGGCACAGATGAGCTCAGCTCTAGAGGCGGGTGCTGAGCGCCCCGGGCCCTGCTCTGCATCCCATGGGTCCTCAGGTGGGGCAAACGGGGTAACCCCACGGGGAGAGACGGCGGGACAAGCGCCTGAGGGAGCTTATGTGAGTTTCACTCGAGCACGCCTGGCCCTGCGCAGGGCCCGGAGATGGGGCCCGGACCAGGGCACCCGGCTGAAGCGAAGGGCGAGGCGGGACACGCTGGCTCCTTCCACCCCCTCTCTCCTGGGCGACTGCTTCCCGGTCACGCCGTGAGGGGAGCCATGGGCGTCCCGACCCGGCCCTGCCTGGCGTCGCTGTCTGCACGGCCCGCGCTGGCACATGGGCAGCCTGGCACGGGCTGAGGCCAATAAATGTCAGCGGGCCGGTGCCGGTGTGCAACCCGATCATAACCAACCGGCCCAGCCCCCGCCCCGCTCGCTCTCAGGAGCGAACCAGTGTGCCGGGCACAGCTCCTCCCAGGAGACCCTACAATAACAAACCAGCTTCTACCCGCCGTGGAGGAAAACAAGTATTCACCCCACGGCATTTCCGGTTCGTGGAAATCACAGCCAGGGTGTGGCCGTGTCCGACGTCCACACGGCGAGCGAGCACCACCGGCTGGAAGCAAATGGCTGGGCAAAGGCGCGCCCCCAAGTCCGGCCCACAGCGGGCCCAGCGCATCTTCCCCCCTCGGCTGCGGAAAGGGAAGAGGTGAGATGAGTCCCGGCCAGGCGTGAAGCCGATCAGACCCCCCCTGCCCCTTCCCACTGCCCCCAACCTCCTGGAGGGGCCCCCGGGGCCTTCCCCGAAGGATATCGCTGGTGCAGCTGCTGCAGCAGGTGCTCGGTCGGCAGGAAGAGCGAGTGAGTGAGGATGACGTCGTCCAATAGCACGTCTAGGAGAGAGACAGACCCGGGTTGGGGGCTGCGTGGGGCAGGCGGGCGGCGCTCTGGGCCCACGGTGCCTGCTGCCCTGCCCTGCCGGTGGCACAGCTGGGCCACGCACATGAGGGCACCCACTGGTGGATGCACCCACACTGTGAGCACCGCGTTAGTCAGAGGGAATTGGCCCCATCCCTTCCCCCGGGGGGGTAGTGGGTTAAGCGCACGTGTTCTTGCACATGCACACACACACTGCCCTCGCACACATACATGCTGCCCTTGCACACACCAAGACACGTGCCACCCTCACACACATTGTCCCTCACACTCACACGTGCCGCCCTTGCACACATGGTCCCTCGTGCACACACACACCTGCATCGAAGCTATTTACAATCGCTTGGCCTGTGCGGGGGCTCGGGTGAGACGACAGGGTCAACACTGTTGCCGGGGGTCTCTCCCGGGTGCCCAGGGCCGGGCTCGTGGCTCGGGGAGCTGAGCCCCTTTTGCTACAGGATAATCTCACGTTGTCCTTAACAAGGGTGGGCTGGCATTGTTAGCCCTGCTGGGGAAACTGAGGCACGGGCCGTGGCGAGGACTCGCTCAGTCCCAGCATCATGCATAGAACCAGGCGTCCTGTCACCCACCTCCTGGCGCCAGCGATTGGGCAGCAGTGCCCAGTCCCCGCTTTCCCCAAGGGGCCGGCCCGGAGGGGCAGCGGGGGCAGCCCGTTCGGTCCCTGACCTGCCGGGATGCGCTGGTATCGATCCCAGGCTGTCCCCATGCCAGGAATGCGGTGACTCAGCCCCTGCACATGGACTCTGCCCCCCGCCCCCGCTCTGACCTCCTCCCCCACGCCAGGGGCCAGCAAGGGCTCGGCACCCATGAGCCATTCCCCCCCCCCCCGCTCCTTAATCCAGTCCAGCCCCCTCGCCAGGCCAGCCCCTGGCACGACCCCAGGGAGCAATGTCAGGCGATGCCAAAATGTCCAGCACCCCCAGCAAACCTGCAGACCCCTTTGTCTATAAACGAGTCACCCCCCCACCTACTTCCTACACCCCTGTATACCTCCCACCCCTTATATCCCCACCCAGCCCCTTCATACCCCACCTCATATCCCCC